AGTTGTGGTGGGAGAGGTCCAGGTTGGATATTAGGAAAAACTATTTCACTAGGAGGGTGGTGATGCACTGGAATGGGTTACCTAGGGAAGTAGTGGAGTCTCCATCCCTAGAGGTGTTTAAGTCTCGGCTTGACAAAGCCCTGGCCAGGTTGAGTCGACAGAACTCCGCGGTTTTGTCGACGCTGGTATACCTCATTTTACGAGGCATAACACTTTCTGTCGACAGAACTCTGTCGACAGAAGGTGTTATTGCCTGTAACACTGCGTCCAGACTACGGAGTTCTGTCAACAAAGCGGCTTGCTTTGTCGACAGAACTCCATGTGTCTGGATGCAAATTGTTGACGGAAGTTTTGTCGACAGTATCTGTCGACAAAACTTCCGTCGACAAAACGCGGTAGTCTAGACGTACCCTATGATTCAACAAGAGATGCCCCTTATTCTTGTCCTTCTGGAAAGTCAGAAAGGTTTCTCTGTAAGCTGGCTGAGTTTGGAACAATTGATGTGCCCAATAATGTTTGCTTTATTGTGGATGCATGAATAGAAACACATCCTGCCCTATGATTCAACAAGAGATGCCCCTTATTCTTGTCCTTCTGGAAAGTCAGAAAGGTTTCTCTGTAAGCTGGCTGAGTTTGGAACAATTGATGTGCCCAATAATGTTTGCTTTATTGTGGATGCATGAATAGAAACACATCCTTAGACGCTTCCCCATCATCTCTACCACCTTCTAACATGTATTTTGTTCCTACTTTTGGCACAGCTGGTGCTACAAGGCTTTGTATCTTGCTGCTCTCAAGTGGCATAATGATGCACACATTAACAGTGCTCTTGCAGGGTTGTGGGACTGATTTGGTTTTGGTGCAGGGAGTGAAGTGGAGTGTTTTACACCTGTTAGGGATTATTAAAGCCACAGCGTCTCCCTAAAATTATTTGGGATCATTATTTATGCTACTAATAAATGGTCTTTTCATAGCATTAGAAATGTTTTCTTTGGTTTAGTGACCCAATTATGTTTATAATTACTGCAGCAAAAGACTGAATGGGTTTTCTATCAATGTGTCACTACACCTGAACAATGGATTCTGTAACTCCAGAGACCATTCCTAATGTGAGAACAACAGGATGTGTTATGGGGTATGTATTTGGAATTTTGTTAAAGGAAATGGTGCTTACACACAGAGCTGAATTATACGGTTGTTTGGACAGACTGGGAAACAGGAAACCCAGACTCTATTCCTGGCTTTGACACTGACTGTGTGATTTTTGGCCAGATCACGTCTGTGCTTTGTGTTCCCTTTTAGATGGGAATAATAATACTTATACCATTTTGTAAAGTACTTAGATATCTGTGGGGAAAAGTATATTATTTAATTTGTACTAGGTTAGTTAAAACATGCATTGTCATTCAATATCATTTGCTGTTAACCAAAGGACAGAACTCCCGGCAAAGAGGCACGCAAGGTACTGAAAGTTCACATGAGGACAGAAATGGAAAATTGCACAGAATGAGAAGCTCAATCAGTGTGAATCATAAAGATCACTGTTGTCTACATCTGCTGTTAGCAATCCAACAACATACCCATGCTCAGTCCACCATGTACTGAATCTTGACAAAATGATGATGAGGAGGGAAAAAGTAAAAAGTTAATCATTAAGATTACACTGGAAATGAATGTTAAACAAACATAGACCAACTATTTTTCCCCATAATTTTTTTTCTCCTTGGTGCTAGGTGGATGCTAGTGTTGCAGACATTTAAAATATGTATGACCCGCCTCTCTATTTAAAATATTTGAGGCGGCTTACCAATTTTTTTAAAAGACTATATATAATATAAAGTAAAATACAGAACCCCAAAGGGGGGACATAAAACCTGCTAAAACACTCAAGACACTCACCTACACACCAATAAAAGCACGGGTAAAAAGGGTGGCTTTGGCCTGGTGCTGAAACAGTGCCAACATTGGTGCCAAGCAAATGTCCCAGGGAGAGAATTCCAGAGCCTAGAGGCAAAGGCTGAGAAGGCCCCGCTCCATGCAGATGTCAAATCTATCACCATTAGTGATGGAACATGGAGCAGAGCCTCCCCCAAAGGCTGAGAAGGCCCCGCTCCATGCAGATGTCAAATGTATCTCCATTAGTGATGGAACATGGAGCAGAGGCTTCCGAGCAGACCTTGCCTGTCACTCAAAGCACTCAGATCTGAGAAATGTTCCGGTCAGTGTTGCAACCGCTTCTTCGAAGACACCTTAAATCTTTGCACAGGGTTTGGAGTGGATCACACCGACAGACAATGGTGTGCGCCTATGGATCATCTGATCTTCTGAAACATGAGACAGTGGGGATGCATCGGTCTGACTTACAGTCCCTTTGTCTTATTATAAAGCACAGAATTGAATAGCCAAGGAGACAGAATGGCCTATGATGGCATTGGCAAGAATTACTATTGTGTTCACCAGATCATCTAAGAATCTAACTTGTCACAGGAAGATGAAACCTGAGCTAAACTCTCCCAGTCGTCTAGTTAGAGGAGGGTGAATATGGAGGATTGAGACTTAATGTTCCCTCATTGGGTGGCTGGCAGAGCTACATCTCATATTTCAGCATCCTGTGTAGTCATAAACTTCAAAATCCACTCACACACCAATGTTCCCCTAACACTTTCCATCCATGTGGGGATTTTTCCATCTGTATGTGGAATAATGTCTGTGTGCACCGAGGCATGTGTGATGTGCACCACCAGTAGAAACAAAAAACCTAACAGTGGGCACTCTACTAATCAGCTGAGCAGCATACGAATCTGTCCTGAGTGGCTGCGAAAGTGTACAGCTGACAGGGAATACTGCCACACCCCCCCAGAAAAGAAGCAAGTCAGTCAGGATTCCTAACACTGAAGTAGGGATGTGAACAGGTAAGGCAGCAGCAAAGTTCAATATTGTTGAGTAGATTGTTGAACTGTATGTCGGAACTTAGATAGGCTTACACATGGGTAGTGTGTGACACCATGGCTCGGGGAGGAAAGCCCCCAGCTCCGCCCCTTCTGGCCAAGGCCCCACCCTTCTATGTCCATCAGAGCCCAGCCCTCCCAGCTGCTGCTGGCCCCTGCCCAATCCCCTCCGATGTGGGTACTGGCCCTTGCCCTCTGCCCCAGAGCAGTTCAGGGCAGCCAGGCAATACAATCCCTGCTGCCCTGGCCAGCCCCAGCAATCTGGCAGCCAGGCAGCACAATCCCTGCCATTCCAGACAGCCCCAGAGATCTGGCAACTGGGCAGCTCGTTCTCTGCTGCCCTGGCCAGCCCCAGGGTTCCAGCAGCCAGGCAGCGCCACCCCAGCCAGCCATGGAGATCTGCATCTCCAGTCAGCCAGCGTGGTGGCCATTTCCAGTCCCAAGCCACTTCCCCCTCCCCCCGCACTGAACCCTCCCCACACCTCAATCCCCTGTCCTGAAACTTTCTCACACCCAACCTCCTGCCCTGATTCCTGCACCCCCACCCCTGCTCTGAGCCCCCCGACACACGTACTCCGCAATACCCTGCCCTGAGCCTGCAGCACTCCAGCCCACACTGAAATTTGTTACAAGTCCTGTCATGTCACAGCTCTCCCAACCTCCTACTTCGAGGGCCCACTGGGGGTGCTGCAATAGGGCAGTACCTGTAAGAAATGTAAGTTACTTTGACCCTAAGGGCGACCCACCTGTGCTTTAAACTACAGTTTCTCCTCAAGGGCAAAATAATTGACTTCATATGAACAGAAATTTGGCTTAAGTGAACCCGAGCTGTGCTAAATCCTTGATCTAGTGTAAATGCGCCTTTGAACTTCCCCAGAATTGCTGTTTTTGTAGCACCAGAACACCAGTTTGACCTTTTCAAACGCATCTGCTCCATAAGAGCTTTCCCAGAGAGGCCACTATTTTGTAGTTGGCAGCAAGAGTGGTTACTGAAATTGAACTCAGGAGATGCAGCTGTGTCAGAAACAAAGCAGCATTTGCCACTGAGGGGCTGGAGAAGGCAAGGTGTGGTAATTTAATCTACTCTGGGAGGCGATCATGCAACTGGAAAGACAGACTTTGCTATTTCAGCATAATGCATCCAGATTTTAATCTACTCTGGGAGGCGATCATGCAACTGGAAAGACAGACTTTGCTATTTCAGCATAATGCATCCAGCCTGCGCTGGATTGTAGATTTTTGTCTCTGATAGAAGTATAAAGGAATTCTTAGTTAAATGAATATTTGAAATGATCAGAAAAAGTGTGCTTAAAGAGCAAGGTCACTGATATATCTAATTAAAATATTCCTGTCTAGGCCAGGGGTTGGCAACCTTTCAGAGGTGGAGTGCAGAAATTTGATCTATTCACTTCGAAGTACGGGTCCGAGTGCCAATGATACGTTCTAAAGTCAATAACAGTTCTACTTACAACAGCTTCATTAATAAATAAATTAAGATGCAGATCTTGCCTTTTAGAGCAGGGGTCGGCAACCTTTCCGAACCTGCGTACCAAGATTTAACTTATTCACAGATCTGTGTGATGGGGGAAGGATGGGGTAGGGGTGGCCAGGGCAGGCTGGGTATGGTGACTTTATTTTCTGAACCAGCTGCAGCTAGGGAAAATGGTTTAATTTAAATTATGAAACAGATTATGCGTTTTAACTTTCTCATGTTAGTTTATCAAACTTCATTTTAAATAAAGTAAAATATTATGTCTAACACTAAAGGTTTCAATGTTTTCTTCATTTATGGCAGGGGTGGGGAACCTTTTTTGGGTCAGTGGTCACTGACCCACAGAAAAAAAAAATCAGTTGGGGACCACACAAGTGAGAAGCAAAAAACCTCCTCCATAAACCCCAACCCTCACTGATGTGGCCCCCTAACTGAGACACCTCACTCCTCTGGTGCTCCTGTCCCATGGGGTGAGGGGAAGAGACAGGGGGGACTGAGGTTTGGGGCTTCCCACAGGCCAGATTTACTTTTCTGGGGTTCCATTGGATTTTGTGGACCCCCTTAGGCTCTGGCGTGAGGACAAAAATGTGGGATTCAATGTGTGGGAAAGGATCGCCAGTGAGTGGAATGGAGATGGGGGTCCAGGATCTGGGCAGGAGATGAGGTGTAGGAGGGGGTGAGGTTGCAAGGTCTGGGTGGGAGGTAGGGTGCAGAAATAGTCTGGGACTATGGTGTCTGGCTAGGGAGGGGGCAGAAGCAAGGGAGGGGGCAGGAGTGGGATGGGGGCAGGCTGTCTGGCCAGAAGCAGCCAGATTGTGTGGCTGGGAGTGGGGGGATGAGTGAGGGAGTGTGGGTCTGGCATGAAAAGGTGAGGGGGCACTCACTTGTTTTCACACTGTGTGGTAGGCAGGCATGGCGCAGCGGTGGCAGTGAGCATGGCCACAGTGCAGGGTCACCAGCTCGCACAGCAGCCACCGGCACAGAGGGCAGCTAAGCAGAGGTCGCCCAGCACCTCGCCTGGTCTCTCAGGGCTGCCAGTGGGCCAGGATCTCAGTCCTGGCTCCTGCTGGGTCTGGGACCTACCTCCTCTGTAGCTCTACATTTGAAGTGTATTAGGAGCAGCCTGGGCGGGCAGCCACGCTCAGTTCTGACTCATGCCAGGTCTGGGAGCTCAGACGTCCCCTAGGCAGGGGCTGCTGCCACCCTGCACTGCGGCTTCTTTATGAGAGGCAGCAGCACAGGGCAACAGGCAGCCTGTCTGCAAGGGGAGCTGGTTTTAAAACTGGCTCCCCTCACGGACCAGCTCCTGCCTGGCACCCCACGCTGCTGCCTCTGAAATAGGGGCAGCAGTGCAGATTGGAAAGGAGGTCCTCAGGAGTGGGGCCAGAGAGCACTGGGGACGGCCTCGCTCCTGGGGACTATAGACTAGTCGAGTAACGGATAAGAATTCATGCGGTTAATCAAGTGTTCAATTAACTGATATTTAGCATCCCTAGTGCAGGCAGCCTGACCTGCTGCTGGGGAAGGGGAAGGGGAAGGGCACTGGCAGCAGGTTAGGCTGCATGTGCCGCTCGTGTCACGCATGCTGGGGGTTTCCAACCCTTGGCTTAGGCTATAAGGAATAGTTCAGAACAAGGCATTTCCTCATTTAGTAGAAGGCCACGTGATCATAATGCCACTTAAAACAGTGAATGCACCTAATCGATTCAAAATTAGGGAGAAAAACCATCTTGTGATACCAGAAAGTTCTTCCCCCACTGAACATGACAGGAAAGGCTGAGGCTCCCAGTACGCTTTCCCCTCCTCATCTTCCTCACGCTGCTGTCCAGGCTCAAAGGACAGTGACAAACAGAACTGCGCACACACCTTGCTCTCCTACAGTTGCTCAGGTAAGAGCAATGTAAGGGGAAACATTAGGGAGTGAAAGCTTCTGCTGGTCGTGCTGTGCTTGAAGAAAGCAAAGCAAAGCAAGGCTGTGGCTGTACGCCAGCGATGGGCAACCAAGCGTAGCTCATAGGCCACACAAGGGGCCCTCCTTTAACTCGGTGAGCCGCAGTGGCGGGCCAGCCGCAGCCAGCACTTTCGGAGTGCCATGAATCGGCTGATTTGCGCCCTGCCTCTTCCCAGAGCTTGAACAGCCACAAACAGCTGGGAGGAGGGGGAAGGGTTAGGAAGTGCAGGACTCGAGTATCGCAGTGCACGATCGGCGTGTGGGGAAAGGTGGCAGATGGGTTGTGCGAGCTGCAGGCGGAACCCCAGTGAGCCGTATGCTGCCCACAGACCACTGGTTGCACACCACTGCAGTAGCCCTTCGTATTCCAAGTCCACATGCATAGTTATTCACCATTGCTTCGCACAGGGCGTTTATTTTACTCACTTTGGCGGAAGGATACCGAAACCAGCCTTTCATCAAACTCCTGAATGTGTCTGAAGTTATTAACCATTTCCAGAGGTGCCGGGTCATTGGGCTGTGTGCAGTACAGAGCTGTTTCCAGTGCCAGGAGCTAGGGACAAAGAACACAGTTCAGTATCCAGTGTCAGAGAAAGTAACGGTGTGTATGTTTACTTCTTATGCTTCAGTGACTGTGCAAATCAGTGTCGTCCCATGAGGGAATGCTTCAGCCCACACTGATGCATGAAGCTGGTAAGTTCACTTGTGCAGTAGCTACCGATTCAGCGCACAGCATGACCCCCAAATATCAGGGGTGCTGAAACACTTTGTATGGTGAGAGCACTAAAGAGCATTGAACCAAAGTGTAACCCCTGCATGAGATGGAAACCACTTCAAGTGAGAAGATATGGCAGAACCCTCGTTCCAGCACCTAATATGATATGATGTGCAAACAGTAGGTACGTCTAGACTTCATAGACTCATAGACTTTAAGGTCAGAAGGGACCATTATGATCATCTAGTCTGACCCCCTGCACAGTACATGCCTCTGCCGACCGAGTAAACCTTGTTTCACGATGCATAAGGGAGCGGTCGACAAAGGCATTCCCTGTCGACCGATCCGCGTCTTGACTGCCGCACTGTGCCGACGATCAGCTGAGCCAGCACAGCGCAGCAGCCATTTTTATTTAACGATGCGGGGGATATTTAAATCCCTGCTTCATTGACTATGTCGAGTAGTCTAATTTACATGCCTCTGTCGGCAGAAGCATGTAGTCTAGACATACCCAGTGTGACTTCACCTGTCTAAAGGCTGTTTCTCAATGCCCATAGATGAATTTAATTTAATTCATGTTAGAGTAACCCTAATAATGTGTATTTAGCTGTTAAGAAACTGGGGTAGTGGAAGCCTTTATTTCCTGATGAGCATGTAGGCTTGTAGTGTTTGTAGAACCGCCCAAAGACCCCAGTCTGTTCCCTCCTGTTGCCTGACCTGGAGCAGAATAGGTAACAGATGAGTGGATCTGATTTTAAGTTAATAAAAGGAGCATCCGAAAAAATATCATGGAGAGAAAGTTTCCTTCCACAAAGGGTCATTGTCATATTAGCATAAACAGTCCAAGTCTGAAGCACTAGAAGCCATCTTAAAAAGCTGACTATTTGGGTAAGGTGAGGAATGCCCAGACGGTGAGATTCATGGAGGTGAATGTTCACAACAAGGAGTGCAACTGCTAACTTGGTCAGAGATTTCTGAGATAGAGCTGTCTGCATTTCTTAACATTTGGAAATTACTAGTAAAGCTCATCCCCCCTGACGTTGGTCAGAAGCAGCGGGTCCTTGGGGGGGGTATATAATTCAGAATATGTATCTATTCTTTTTCTGCTAGTTTATAGGTTGACCACATGAGGGAGAAAAAACTTAATTAGTTTCTAAAACATGCACATGAACGCTAGAGCTGGGTGAAAACTAGGGTCACTTTGCTTTTGTCAAATAACCTGTCACCAGTTAGGCTTTGGTTTTATGAAACCAAACAAAGCTGGAGGCTGTTCCTATCTGGATGATACTGTTAAATAGACTTGCATTAGGAATTTATGAAAGATACTTGCATGTAAGTGCTGAAGCGAAGGCAGAATACAAATGGATTAAAAGTTTCAAATACAAATCTCTCTGTGGGTGCTTGTTTAACTGTAAGTGAAACTTTTCACCTATGAAGGTTAGCAGACACAAGTAAGGCATCCTGTTAAGGTTGTAAGGTTGTGACTACTTTCTTCCACTATTTGATCTGAGGAAGTGGGTCTGGCCCACGAAAGCTCATCATCTAATAAACCATCTTGTTAGTCTTTAAAGTGCTACATTGTCCTGCATTTTGCTTCAACTACCCCAGACTAACACGGCTACATTTCTATCACTATCCTGTTAAGGTGAGACTGAAAATGTGGACAATAATGTGTTTATTGTGAATTAAAGAGCCATCCAGTCTCCAGTCCCTTGGCCTTTACATATCAATTGCAAACAAAGTATGACAGATTAAATAACTTTCTATTTCCCACTCAAAGATTAATTTTACTGATCACACCTTTTATTTTATGGGGCCTAATAGGAAACTTCCTATTTGGAATCCAGAAAACGAGAATGCAAATTTAACATTCCTTAATAAACACAGGTTAATTTATTAGCATTTAGTTTAATATCACATTTTAGGCTACAATGACAGGCTAAATAAGAAAATACTTAAACTTGCCTGTTCTTGTGAAACTTTTACAGAGTGTCGGAAAACTGTCCAGAGAACACTAGGGTAACAAGGAGGAGTGGTCAGGGATCCTTCATAGCGATAATACTCATCCAATCTATCAGGAAGCAGTTCTTGGATGTCAAAACCTGGAACTAGAGCTACCTGGTCTGAAAGACAGACTACATGTAAGTTCTGTATTCTTATTATAAACGTCTCTCAGTGCTAATCTACACTAAATCATCAGGACTTTCTACTCGACTGCATTGGTTTGCTGTATGTCTTTGCACAGCTGAGTCCCAGTAAGGCAAATTTGTTTTTCAGAAAGCATTCTCATTGGAAAAGGAAAAAGTGTAATCTGACCGATGCTAGCCGCAATTTAAAACAGAAACCACTTCTAATGTATTCTTTAGAAATGTGACATGTTGCACCTCGTTACCAAGGGTTATGATTCATGAGCAAAGTTCCTCTTCACTATTCAGTGCAGTCTGCTCATGTGCACTATTGGATTAGTTCCTTTATAAGCAGTGCAGGTAACCACATACTGTCAGGCACTTGGGTTTGTCTACACTGCAGTCAGAGAAATGTACTCTATTTGGAACTGTTCTTAAGCAGTTGAGAGAAAAGCATGGCATGCCCTCTTTGAGTGTTTCTTAAAACAAGCAGGTTGATTCCCCTCAACGATAAGGTTCTGATCTACTCAGACACTTTTGACCTTTTGCACAATATAGCCACTCACCTTTGTATTTCACATTCTGGAAATGACTGAAGATCTTTTCATATGATGGATTGAATGTGCCTATCTGTAACAAACAAACTGTTAACAACTGTCCAGGTAACCAGGGTCTCTGTGCACATAATCTTAAATTCTTCAACTAACTGATAATGTTTGATTGACATTTTCATCTTGTAGTGAAATATTACATCACTATTGGTGGTGTTGGAACAATGGAGGCTGATGTAGGAATTAAGGCTGTGCCCTGGGATTGTTTTGTTTATCTCTTCCCTCTTTCCTCTCCATTTCAGTACACTGCTGCTATCTGAAATAATAAGTTATAACCTAGACAATTGATTTCTTTGCCATTTTACCCAATATTAGATTGTCAGAATTAGGGCTTATATTGATTCAGTATAATGAACTGTAAAGTTAAGATTTTAAATAACAAAAGTGTTCAAGGAGAAATGTTTTGCAGCGAATCAGGTCAGCGATGATGGTATGTGTTAATTTAATTCAGCTACATAACGCTGCTTCCTGGATAACCGGATGAAATGTAAAGGCCTGTGACACACAGGAGGTCAGACTAGTATCTGATAAGACTGCTTTCTGACTGCTCCCAGTTGCTGCCATGGCTTCTAATCAGTGCTTGCTTTATTAATAATTTGGAGATGTTTCCAAAGAATCTCATCTGGCAACCAGAAAAAATTGTGTCCTGTCTCAGGGTCGACTCGCTGCCGCGGTGCCTCCTGCTGGTAGCACTGGGAATTAGCTCTGTCAGCAGGGTGCCTCCCTCTGGCTGTTGTCTCAACCGTCACTCCGCTCTGTCCACAGGCAGTTTGGACTGCCCTCTGGCAGTGCCTGTTCCCACAGCGGTCTCTCACCCCCCTTCCGGGGTGTATCGGCAGTCCTTCATCTCTTATGCAACAGTGGCCTCCAAGCCCCTCTGTCTCAAGGGCAAGTCACAGTTTGTATGGGCCATGCCTTAGTGTCAGGGTGTGGTGCAAGGGGGAAAGACCCCGGCCCACCTGCTACTCTGGGTCCTGACCCAGGACTCTGTGGCATCTGCCTTGTCCTACCCTCTTGTACTCCCTCTTCACAGCCTCTTATTCTCTGGGCCACTTCCTCTGTGACCCTTTGGGCCTTCCTGGCCCCAGTAGCAAGGCCAGCAGCCTGGCAGGTATCAGGCAGAAGCCCCCCTCTTTAACCTCCCCACGCCTGCCCAGCACTGTTCTACTGAAGATGCTTTCTCTGAGGGAACCAGGTCCTGCACCTTCCCTGGTCAGAGCCTACCTCACTCTTTCTGCTGGGCAGCCCCTTATATGCCGGGCTGCCCCAACAAGCCATACCCTAACTGGCTACTAAAAAGCCTCTCCCTAATTGGCCAGGGCTGTGCACAGGTTTCCTCCTGCCTGCATTAACCCCTTCTGGACAGTTTGGGGCAGTCGCCCCACCACATTTCCTATGTTCAATTTTGAAAGTTACCATGTTTCTGAAGGTTTCTCAGATGAGACTAAGGGTGTGTCTAGACTGCAGAGTTTTGTCGACAAAAGTGGACTTTTGTCGACAAAACTATACCTGCGTCTACACTACCCCCGAGGTCTGTCGACATAACGTCGACAGAACTCAGCAGTTTTGTCGACGCTGGTAAACCTCATTTTATGAGGCATAACACCTTCTGTCGACAGAGTTTCTGTCGACAGAAGGTGTTATTGAATGTAAACTGTCCTTTGCGTCTACACTACCATGTCGACAAAGCAGCTTGCTTTGTCGACAGAACTCACTGTAGTCTAGACGCTCTTTGTCGACAGAAGTTTTGTCGACAGTATCTGTCAACAAAACTTCTGTCAACAGAAGCCTGTAGTCTAGACGTACCCTAAATCTTGCTAAATGTGGAGATGTCTTTGAGTTTTAAGCAGTATCATATAATAAGCATTTTGTAGAAAAATGAAAGCCCTTTCAATGGCTCATTGGATTTTCAACTAAACAAACGTTTTCTCAGAAAGTGTCTGCACTCCTTGAACATTTCCAGTTGGTTTAATGGAAAACTGAAAGTTTTGGGTGGGTTTTTTTCTTCAATTTTTTGACAAAGCCAAAATGTACTTCAAAGCTTACCGATGCTTTAATTATAGCATTATTCAATATGAAAAAGCACAGGGCAGATATCTTACCTCAATAAGAACTGCCAAAACTGCTAGCCCATCTGATTTGTCTATTGCTTCGGTTACATCAGAATATTTGTCCGAGTTATAATGTACAATATGGACCTTCAAAGAGTGAGAAGTAACAATATTATCAACCCTGGCTCATGGTAGCCTTCTGCTGTCATAAGAAAATCCAGGACCCTAAACACCACAACATGAGGCTTCTCAACACCTTCCCCTTTAGCAGTGGCACGAGGACTCCTCCCTTTTCAGAGACACAAAGGCAGGGTTATTTTGCTGCTTTTGTTCACTCATGATGGGTAGGTATCCCCTCTCCTCCACAGAGAGGTGGGGTCAGTAGCAAGTACTCTCCTGCCCCTCAACACTTGCCTCAGTAATCAAGGTGCATCTTCTGGGGTGGGTATGATGGGCCCACTGCACTGTTCTGAGTCCTTTGCTGGGGTGATTTTGGTGGGAGCCAGAGCAGTGGCTTTATGGATTAGCCCCCATTTAAGAGCTATTATTTCAGACTGCCTGAAGACTCAAATAGATGCCATTGCATCACTTACCCTGAATTACATTTTCAAGCTTTTCTTTGTGACCACGCGTACTAGAAACTTTCTTTTATTTAAAGTGAAGATGAGACGGTGATCTAATCACACAGTGCCAGGAGCTACTGCCCTCGGCAGGAGCATGTGATATCTATTCCTCGTTTAAATCCTGAAATTGGTCATGGAGTGGCCAACTCATTTTAAAATAATTTCAGCCCAAACTTGAAGTGGCCAATTGAACACACTTAGGGTACGTCTAGACTACCGCGTTTTGTCGACGGACGTTTTGTCGACAGATACTGTCGACAAAACTTCCATCGACAAAAAGCGTCCAGACACATTGAGTTCTGTCGACAAAGCAAGCTGCTTTGTCGACAGAACTCCGTAGTCTGGACGCAACGTTACAGGCAATAACACCTTCTGTCGACAGAGTTTTGTCGACAGAAGGTGTTATGCCTCGTAAAATGAGGTATACCAGCGTCGACAAAACTGCTGAGTTCTGTCGACGTTATGTCGACAACTCAGCGGTAGTGTAGACGCTGGTATAGTTTTGTCGACAAAAGTGGACTTTTGTCGACAAAACTCTGTAGTCTAGACACACCCTTATATGCACATTATTTGATCATATGCATAAAAATTCACTCTGATTTTTACTGTATTTTAATTAAAATATCTGGCCTATGATTCTTTGTCATCAGAAATTGAAACATTTTAGAACTGCCTTGTAATGTTAAATAATTTGAACAAAAAATGTCAACATGATGAAACTAAAGTTGTCAGTGCGGACATATATGCCAGTTCTAGAAACTAACAGTTCCAAGGGGTATTAACAGTTAAAAACTGACACGTTCTCTGAGAAAAGAGGTGAACAACAAAACTGAGCAATTTGTAAAGGAGTCATACTCTGAAGCAGTGGAGAGAATGATTTGTGAGTAAAGGGAAGAAACCATCACACAAACTGCAGCAATATTTGTGTGCCTGGAGGAAGCTTAAACCCTTCCAACATCCTGATATGTAAGAAGGGCAGGCATCTGGTAACTAAGACTTGCATAAAGTCTGTTATTGTTTTAAGATCCCCAATCAGGACTAGAGACCTGTTTATACTAAGTGCTGTATAATTAGAGAAGAGACAAATTCCTGCTCTGGAGGACTTATAATGGAAAGATCTTTCAAGATGAAGAGCTAAAGCAGTAAAAATCAATAGCCACATACTCTGATTCAAGTGATTTAGACTGTAATCCATAATCTGTCAGTTGGTACTACTTTTCAATATCTATTCCTAAATCAGTATCACAGGTTCAGAAAAGGTAGAAGTGGAAAAGACCTGTTGGATGCCTCTATATATACGCTATCACAAAGCATGTCAAACCCTCACAAAACACCTTTGTTACAGGTAATCACTATGGCTGTGTCTACACTGGGCCACTTATTCCGGAAAATCAGCCGCTTTTCCGGAAAAGCTATGCTGCTCCCGCTCGGGCATAAGTCCTTATTCCGGAACACTGTTCCGGAAAAGGACCAGTGTAGACAGCCCAGTAGTCTTTTCCGGAAAAAAGCCCCGATCGCGAAAATGACGATCGGGGCTCTTTTCCGGAAAAGCGCATCTACATTGGCCACTGATGCTTTTCCGGAAAAAGGGCTTTTCCGGAAAAGCAGCCTGCCAATGTAGATGCTCTTTTTCTGGAAATACTTATAATGAAAACTATTCTGTTTTAAGCATTTCCGGAAATTCATGCCAGTGTAGACACAGGCTATGTCTGTTGGGGAGATATCAAGTTGTCAAGGAGAGTAAACAACTTGGCTGAAATTACAGAGCAAGTCACCAATGGTACTGAGAGTAGAACTCAGATCTCCTGAGTCCTGGTGTCATTACTATCAGAACAAAGCCATACTGCTTACTGAGCCCAGCCTCAATCCAGAGATCTTGTAGCATCTTGACATAGGCTATGTCAAATATTAAGTGCATAAGTTATTGTCTGTGGGTCTTCTTTGGCAGAATGTATGAAACACAAGTGGTGAATACATCAACCATTGTCTATACATATTTGAGCTTTGATATAGTAGGAACTGTCTAACTTTCCCTTCAGGTTTCTCTTTCTTGAGTCCATCTTACCTCTGCTGCAAAATGCTTCCCACTGATTGTGTGCTCCGAACCTTCTGGCTTGTTCCTGTTTCCCCAGTGCAGGTGAAGCTGGTTTGCCGTGTATTGGAAAGGGAGGTTTCTGATGTGCATGGTAGGAAATAGACTCATTCTTACTGCAAGCACACCAAAAATATGGGAGAAGATCATATTGCTGTGTTAACGCGCTTGGTGTGCAGACATCAGAATTAAACAGAATAAACCATTGAGGTTCTTAATTCAGAAATATGCACCTGTTATAGTATCTGGAAGCTGATCATTTTTAGGAACTTTCTAGATAATTCTAGAGAATCTAAAACTTTTCCCCTCTATGTTCTACTCGAATGTCATACATGGAATGTGAATTGAAAGGGAGAGTTGTGATCTGGAATTTTCCCTGGATACTGGTAAACCATCCTAAGTTTATGAAAAGGGATCACTGAAGCAAAACAACATTTTTGAGCCTTTTTTTTTTCTCTTTTGTGATGTATAAAGATGACTTAATAGTTAAGGATCTTGGTACCATTTAACATTAAATTCTTGTCTCCCTCCCCTTGCTGATGAGCCTTGTTAAGGACCTGAAGAGTGATGTCAAGAAAAGCTACAGCCACATCTTTAAGAATCATTCTTCTCCTGTCACCTTGGTGGAAGGAACACTTCAACTCCGGTTACAGGCTGGTGTAACCTTCCCAAGGCCCCTAGCAAAGATAGGGGAGGGAGAGGTTATGTTCTTTCTTGTGTAATACTAGAAAAGAAACTATATGTATGTCTTCATTTATCATTAAACTTTGACAACTTCTGAACATTTTAAACAACTGTAAAGAATGCCCCTTTCTTTGCAGGTCATATTCAGGTGACTTCCAAATGGGTAGCGTGTTGTTCCTGGAATGGCCCAGGTTTAGAACAAAACACGTGCATTTCAGATGTTGGAGCCTCTCTACAGAGGACTATTACCCAACACATGAATTATTCAGCTAGTGTTAAAGAGCTTTTCCTTGTGCTCCAGTGTTTTCAATCTAATTTAAATAGAGAATTCTACCTAAGGGAATAAGTTATGAAGTGCACTAATTATATGTAAGAATTAATGTGTTACCACAATGCTTTACAGGCCATTGGGTAGTTTTGTAGACATAAGGGACTATATGAGCAGGTGCTGTAATGTTCTCCTCAAGAGCACTTTAGGATTTGCTTTTGACTAAGCATTGTTTTCAGATAAGCATTATCTTATTGTTACCACTTTTAAAGCCACTTGTGAGGAGATGGAAACCAATGGTCAGGTCCTCTAGAAGGTTTGTTCTTACCTAAAGAATGGACTCATAAGAACATAGGAATGTTTTACACTAGGAGTACGTCTACACTAGCCCACTAAATCAATCTAGGGAGGCTAACGAGGGTGACCGAAATTGCAAATGAAGCGCGGGATTTAAATATCCCCCGCTTGATTTGCATGTTCCCGGCCGGTCACCATTTTAGAAATTGACTAGCCCAAAGTAACTGCCCGCATCTACACATGGCAGTGAAATGGGATTCTGAAATAAAGCCCTAACTCGAATTAGCTGGTAAACGTCATTGCAGGAGGAATACCAGCTAATTTGAGTTAAGGCTTTATTTCGGAATCCCGTTTCACTGCCATGTGTAGATGCGGGCAGTTACTTCGGGCTAGTTAATTTCTAAAATGGCGACCGGCCGGGAACATGCAAATCAAGCGGGGGATATTTAAATCCCGCGCTTCATTTGCAATTTCGGTCACCCTCATCAGCCTCCCTAGATCGATCTAGGGGGCTAGTGTAGATATACCCTAGCTGAATAATTCATATTTGGGGCTCCAGGGATATCTTCCTCTAAGTCAGACCAATAGGCCATCTGGTCCAGGATCCTGTCTTCTGACCGTGGACGGTCCCAGGTATTTCAAAGAGAGTGAACAGAACAAGGGAATTTATTGAGTGCTCCATCAACTCTCATTCAGTCCCAGCTTCCGGCTGGCAGAAGTTTTGGAACATCCAGAGCATGGGGTTGAATCCCCAACCATGTTGGCTAAAAGCCATCGATGGGCCTATCATCTATGAGCTTATCTAATTTTTTTTAGAAAGCCCAGTTATAGTTTTGGCCTTTACAATATCCCCGGGTGACAAGATCCATAGGTTAACTGTGTTATGTGAGGAAGTACATCCTTATGTTAGTTTTAATCCTGCTGTTTAATCACTGAGTGTGTCTGGTTCTTGTGTAGAATTCCCTATTCTTCCTTTTCATTTTCTCTACATCTTTTATGATTTTATAGACCATTACCATTTTCCTCCTTCATTCTCTTTTCTAACCTGAACAGTCCCAGTCTTTTTAATTTCTCCTTACATGGAAGCTGGTCTATATCTAATCATTTTTTGTTGCCCTTCTCTTTACTTTTTCCAGGTCTAATATATTGTTTTGGCTCTAGGCTCAGAACTTCACACTGTATTCAAAATGTGGGTACACGATGGATTTATATAGTGGCATTTTTTATATTTTATTTTTTCCCATTATTTTGTATGTATAATTGGAATTGTGTTTGACAGGGTACATAGTTTTGCATTTAACAACATTGAATTTTATCTGCCATTTTGTTGCATGGTCAGTCACCCAATTTTGTAAGATCCCTTTGTAACTCTTTGCAGCCTACTTTGAACTATCTAGTAATGTTGTGTCATCTGCAAACTTTGCCACCTCACTGTTTATCCCTTTTTCCAGGTTGTTTATGAATATGTTGAATAGATGTGGTCCCAATACAGCTCTTTATGGATATGGTATAGAGCATGTTTACCCCACAGAAACAGTAAGAAAAGAGAGACTTGCCAACCCCCAAGCCCTTTTAACAAAGCATGCTGGGAAGGGGAAAAGTCTGAGGTATTTTATAGTACAGGTTCTGTTGATGACCCTTTGGGTAGTACGGGGAAGGATGTGCTTCAGGACAGCCTAGCTGCTGTTCTTGTCTGTAAGTTTTTACATTGTTTCTAGAAAAAATTGTGGGGAACTGGCTTAGAAGTGGTATTATAATAAATACTCTGGCATTTTAAGAGACTGCTTCATCTCTGCTGTTGTTGGTAAGGTACCTTGCCTTGATGTGACAGTGGAGGGTGACAGTGGTTATAATATGTCTTTGTCTCATATTTAATGGAGTTGTGTTTTTATTCAACTAGTACAGTGGTCTCCAATCTTTTTAACCACAAGATGACTTTTTCTATTTAAGTGCAATGTAAGATCTACCTCAAACCCAAATACCCTTGCCTGGCTTCCTCCCCCCTTTCTCTGAGGCCTCACCCTGCTCACTCCATCCCCCTTCCTCTCCCATTCTCACTCACTTTCACCAGGCTGGGGTATCGGTTTGGGGTGCAGGCTCTGGTCTTGAGCCAAGGGATTTGGAGTATGGGAGGGGATTCAGGCTTAGCTCAGAGTGGGGGGATTGGGACCCAGAAGGATTTCAAGGTACAAATTCTGGGAAGGGGTTTGGGTGCAGAGGGACTCACATCTGGGGCAGGATGTTGGGTGCAGGAGGAGGTTCAGGGCTGGCACAGGGGTTCAGGAGGCAGGCTCTGGCTGGGCACCATTTAACTGAGATGGCTTCTGGGTGTGGAGCAGTGGGGTTAAGGCAGGGTTACTCCTGCCTTGGCCCTGCACCACTCCTGAACGCAGCTGGCATGTACAGCGATGGCTCCATGGTGCCATGTGCTGCCCCTCATCTACAGGCCCTGAGCCCACAGCTTCTACTGGCCACGGTTTCCCATTATTGATCAATGAAAGCTGCAGGAGTGGTGTCTGCCCACAAGGACGGCATGTGGAGACCTTCTGCTCTGCCTTTCTCAGGGGCTGCAGGGACATGCCAGCCACTTCCAGGGACAGCAATTCCCACAGGGATAATGACTCCAGCCACCACATTAGACATTTTAGAACTCACCCCTCACAAAATTACATTTCAGCATCAGAGAGAAATGAAAATTACAAAATGCACAGACAAGTTACAACCAAAACTAACCCACTTGGCAAGAAGACACAGAAATAACAACCACCCCCCATGTATGTGCTTGTGGAGAGGGAAGGACAGTGTGTGTTTGTGAGAATGACAGACACACACAGTGTGTGAGTGACAGAGATTCGCATTGCCCAGCTCCCTCCATCCCCTTCTCTCTGTGTGGAGGCCAGGTAGAGGAATGAGGAGGAGGGACACCCTGACATCAGCGCCCCCCCCTTTTCCCTCCCAGACCCTGCACAGAAAGCAGGAGGCTCCTAGAGAAGCAGCTCCAAGACAGAGGGCAGGAGCAGCATGACAGTGGGTGGAGAGGCAACTGAAGTGCCAGCACTTGAGAGCTTCCCAGCCAAACCAGTCAGGATCCCCTGTCAGAGGCTCCAAGATCTACCAGTAGATCCCGATCGACTGGTTGGTGACCACTGAACTAGTAGAAGCATTTGTTGAAACTCCCAGGTTCGACTGTGGGGTTTTTTGGTCTTAAATTCAATTGAACCACTTATTTTATCCTTCCAGTTGATTACAATATTTCTTAAGGGTCACTTTATTCAGATTTACTGATTTTCTAAACAAAATTGCAAATTCTGTTCCTATTTCTGAGTATTTAAACCAAATTAACAAGCGAAGCTTTTCATAAGCATAAGGATCCACTCTTTGAGCTAATCAGAAGACTAAAGTGCCACAGATATATTTATGGTATACTGATGTATGCTCTATAATTACAAGTTTCTTTAAATAGTTATCTAAGATGTCTACATTCTATTGCAAGGGCTTGGTCCTTACCTGAATGACCATTATTGGTCAACTTAAAGTGAGCAGTGGAGGATACATTGTAGCCTACAAGCTCTAGAGGCAAGAGAGTGGTATCATATTGGAGAATATCATTATGAAAATCTATTGGAGACTGGAACACTCCTCCGCAAAATGGATACTTCTTTGGCCAAGTTTTCTCTCCATCAGGGCCTGGGAACATTAACAGAGTACATAGGGTTATCAGTCTTTGCTCTCACCTTCATTGGTACTTTTCCTACACTCTAGTAATGGCTACTGGTTTGGATAACATATGAACTGCCTTGTATTCCCTGAGTATTGACGTCAAACCCAGAACAGAATCTGTCCTTTTCTCCATACTGCTTCTTAATTTCACACTTTCAGTCTCTTACTGGAAGGAAGAGGTCAAATTACTGCAATCAAAGCAGTTCATGTAACTTCCCTGAGTGTCTGAGTTTCACTCATTGTTACTAATACATTGTGGTGCACAAAATGCATATATATTGCTAAGACTCAAATTCATTTAATCCTAATGGCAAATATACATCAATTAATTATCTTATTAGTCACTACATATGTGAACGCACATCTAGTCATCTCTACCCTCAAATAGGAAAAGCCTTGAGAAAACTTGACAAATATTTAAATGATTCATTTTCATAGAAAGCTGCAGCACATGTACTAAGAGCCAAATAACTTGAACATTATAGGTTGATAAATTATTAAGTGACTCACCAAATAACTTGAACATTATAGGTTGATAAAGTGACTCTCAGATTCTGTTGGAACTGAAATCCAGAGTATAAAAGTCAATTCACTATATAACAGAGTTATAGAAAGCTCTCAGAAGTGAAACAAAGTGACTTAAAGCTTATCATGAAGCTAGGCAAGGGTTAGTTTGAATATGCCATTTTGTAGTTCACAAAAGCATATTTTTCTGAATGGAAAAATGAACATTGACTACATTTGTTAATGAGCCCATGAATGTATTTGCTATGTGAGAAGTTAGTTCTGATTGGATAAATGACTAAAGCATTTCTGCAGTCTCATACTGATACTGTTGTGTATGTAGTTACAGGCTGTCAAAGAAAATGCACAGTGGTTTTATTTCACTAAAGCAATCAAGGAAAATGTACATTGAACTGGGAAAAGCAGGAAAACTGTTAAATTTTCTCCAGTCACGTTTGACTTTGATTCTAGTGAACTAAACTGTGTAGTGTGTGTTTTGGCACTGGGTCAGGGGAATATACACACTGTGAGAACATAATCCAGTCATCAGGAAATGAGAATAATTAGCCTATTGAGGTTGAGACTTGATGTGCAAGTCTTTGTTAAGGTTTAGTGCAAGAAGTAAGGCATGTATTTCAAGTTCTGTTAGATTTGACGGTGACAAATATTCTGCAAAATCTGTTTGATTTGTGTCTCTCCCACAAAAGCACCTAAGCCAATTCTGTCCTCGAGTGCTGTTCCTTTCCCTTCAATACAAGTTCTTTGTGCCGGAGCAGAGTTCAGTCCTTTCTGTCTTGTTCATGCATTTCAGATGGCATGGGCCTGATCCTGTAGTCACTGTTCAGACAAAACTTCCAGGATTCTCCCTGGCCTCAAAACTGCAAAACTTCATACCTCTGTTCCAGACTAGTTCACCTTTGTTTCCTGACTCACAGGGTGTACCGGGCATTTGTTGGCTTCTGCTGGGGGCTCTTCTACCACCTTGGTGCATCTTGCCTTAAGGTGTTCTTTTGGAGAAAAAGAGCACCAAGTTTAGTCCTCCAGCAGCTGCCTAGAAAGACCACTAAGGCTCAGTTGCAGGTAGAACCAATGCATATCAGTCCTTCCAAAGCTAGATGAGCTAAGAGCAGGTGGAAATGAGTCAGGGCCCAACAGGCAGGATACAAAGAGATGTTTGTTTCCTTGAATCAGGGGTCAGGATTCTGTTGGAGTTGGGTTGAGGAGGAAGGGTTCCCCCAGTCTTAACCTAAGAACCCAGGCCTGGATTCTGATTTCACCTTGCTAAGGTATTAGTTTTCAAGGAAAACATTACGTATCTTGCACCAAAAAGATTATGGCATTCATGTGATTGCTAAATTGCTAATCTTTAATAAACAGAAATCTAATTTCAGCCATTGGAAACCACATCAGGGAGTACACTATACTTTCCCAGACCTACTTTTCTGAAGGGATTGGGTGACGAGGGATTAGTAACAGGAGATGGAAATTTATTTTCCAAGGTCAGCAGGTGAGATTGGAGATAATTTTTTTTATCTTGTAAAATATGCCACTTGCTGAAGCTTTTAGGCACATCAGTGACATTAGGGTGGATGTGCACATTTCTGGTAAGCAAAGAGCATTAAGCCAATGGGGATTAAACAGCAGAGATTCTTGTCTGTTTCCCCACATCAGCTTTAGTTAACTCATCTACTTGTTTCCTTATCCATAACCAGTTTTTCTAGGCACTGCAGGAATCTTGTATATTGTCAGGTAATCTTCCTTGTTTTAGTGCACCAGAACTCACCTGAAAGGGCTGGACTCTTGTCACACTTTGTTAGCACTTATGAAATTAGGATTTCCTTATCAGGGAAACAATGGAGCTCTAAGGCACTTTTAAATTAACTCAGTGGTAAAACAGTTCACTCTGAGTTTTAGCTCATGTGCATTCAAATCAGGAGTGTGTGCCTGGATGTGCATAGTAGCCAGACTTTTCTTCTCGCGCCATGGTGTCCAACACATTAGCCACTAGCCACGTGTGGCTATTTGGCTGGTTGAATGTAACTATAATGGCTACTGCTTCAGAACTGGTTGGGTACCATGGAGCTCACAGGTAGCTATAGAATCGGTCTGGGTGCCCCATGGAGTTGTGCCTTCATGGCATC